GCAACAAACAAACGTAATGATGTATAAATGAAAGCCCTTGATGAAGAGAGAGAGAGAGAGAGAGAGAGAGAGAGAAAGAGAATACGGTGAACAGAAAGATATAAAGACTATTTAGCCTTCACACACACACAAACAACACATGTACGCGACCCTCCCACCAACACACACACACACACATACACACACACACAAACACGCGCGCACGCACACACACACACACACACTGACCTGGTTTGCTCCCTGGTCCGAAGGTCTAGCTTTCTTGGACTTCAACACAGGAGAGGACGAGCCGTCAGTGCAGCCCTTCGAAGGAACAAAATCAGGAATCTATGAGGGGAGCGGTCGGGGACTGTTCACATACAACATTCGTCTGCACAAGAGGGCTTTAGAGAAAAAGCCCACTTGTTGGCAGAAGATCAGTCACCTCAGAAGAATGCATTGTCAAAAAGAACTTCTTCTGTTTTCAGGTCTCAGTTTAGTTTCATTTGAATAAGAGTTTTTCAGCATTAGCAACACAAAAAGGTTATATAAGTGCCGAAGATTTAAGGTGTTACAAGAAAGTAACATACAAAGAAAAGAAGGAGGAGAGACGAGGATGATTGATGTTTGACAGGGAAGAAACAGCAAACCACACCAGAGCACCTGCCAATCAGGTCTTATCAGCTTTATTTTAAACCCAGTTAATATAAATAGATTATAGTAAGACGATAGTGTATAATTGTCCATCAGCTGCGTCCTGAGATGATGGTATAACCTTCAACAAAAACATAAAAATGTCCGGAAAAATTTCTACTGGTCTTTGTTTAGATCTAGGTCATTTCGCTCACAAGTATACTCATCCACGATCCTGGGGAAGCAGTCGGGCTTCATGAGTATTCTCGTCATCAGCAGTCCAATAGGTATTATGATGGAATCCACAAGAAAGAGAAAGAAAGAAGAGCCTAAAAGTACTTGGAGGAGGGACTTATTTTCAGATCTAAAGAAGGTGGGATACAGCAGGCCAGAAGTGGAGACTACAGCCCAAGACATAAATACATGGAGAGCTCTTGTTGGGGGCCTATACTCTAGCAAGGGTTGAGTAAGACTGATAATGATGAACACTAGCATATTAATATTGGTCCCATGATCCCTGAAGGTTCAAGCTCAAAATTCAACTAAAGAACCTTCACCTTGCTTGTAAGAGAAAGCTTCCCCGTATCGTAACCCATCAGTCCCAGAATGCACTTGGTGAACATGGCCCACTCAGGAACGTTGCCGATCCCACCGGGAGCGTTGCGAACTGTGTACCAGCGGGCCAGGACTTGTAAGGCAACTTGGCTCGGCAGTTGGTGCTTCAACGCTCGCAGGCATAGAGAAACTGAGGAAAACAAGGTATAAACTAAATAAGTCCAAGACGCAAAAGCAGAAGCCTTTATACTGAAAATGACCCCCTCAACAGAAAAATATTAAAAATGGTATACAAAAGGAGGCCACCATTAACCACATTTAATTGGCAATTAAAACAATATGTCTTGAAATACATAGAAGCCAGTCAAAATAAAGCACAAATTGATACCAACAAAAATAAAAAATTTTAGAAGCATGCCAACGAACATATATATTTTTCCTTTAATTTATTACCAATAATGGTATTTCCTTTTTTTATTTTTTTATTTCATTTATCAATCTGACTTGCCATTAATTACAAGCATAATCATGAATGTATATATTTTTCATTTCATTTATAAACAAAAACAGGGGGTTTTTTGGGGGTTTTTTTGGGGGGGGGGTTAAATTTCATTTATCAGTCTTGCTTGTTAACCATTAACAGTTCCTCTCCATTTAAAAAGGTATATTTAATTATACTAGAATAGACCGAGTGAAAGTGATAGTAACAGCTTTTCAGCCACTCGAGTCTTTTCTTAAGCAGGTCTAGCACGTCTGCCTTCACTCACTGCCTGGTGAGTCGGTCATAGAGGGCAGCTCGGTGCGACACAAGGCTCCGCTGAGCAGCTCCACCGAGAACTTTTTGCCCATGTTGTCTCGCAAGCCCTGGATGAAGCTGTTGCCCACGGGCAGGATTCCACTGATAGACGAGTCAAAGGCCCCGCCTGTTGAGTCCTCGAGGTGAGCTGTCACAGGGGAGATGTGCTTCATCTGGGATTTAGGTTGATGAGAGATCTTCTTTTTTAAAAAAACAGCATGTAAGTCTAAAGATTATGTAGAATGCTACTGGGCTGATCTGGGAAAAGATGCTCCTGCAAATAATAAAAATCTTCTGCACAATGTCACTGTTACTGATCCCATAATCCACGACGATCATAGGGGCCCTGTGTGAAAGAGAGCCTCGTCAGTGCCTCCTCTTTTCACAGTTTTTTGCAAGCGCCATGGCATTGTTATTATTTCATTGAAAATAGATATTAGAATACAAATGAATGCTTGATAGAGTAGATGAGCCATAATTTAGTGGTGTCACGCTAGCAAATTTTAATCTGACAACATTTTTCTCATGCCAGAAACTGTGTCTTTTATACACAATATTTTGTCCATGGCACCTTTGCCCAGATCTTGTCAAAGTATGGGGAATAGAATCAATAATTTCACGGAATGAAACATTAAAGAACACTGATGTGGAGAGTTTCAAAACTTCAAGAACCAGGTATAAGACTAAAACAAAACGTTCAATTAGTGCAGTAAGAAAATACCTTGAGCAATTGATTAAAACAATTCTGAAACTCTTTCTACAAAGATACAAAACACTAACACCAACACGCAATGTAAATACTTAAGAGTACAAATAAGTGAATCAACACGAAAACAGTTGCTGAGAGAGTGTAAGAAAAAGAGAAAAAGGGGGGGGAGTAGGGCAGAGAGAAAGTGAGAGAGAGAGAGAGAGAGAGAGAGAGAGAGAGAGAGAGAGAGAGAGAGAAAGAGAGAGACAGAGATAGAAAGAGAGAGAGAAAAAGAGACAGAAGACAGACTGAGACAAAGAAAGAAGAAAGAAAAGAGAGAGAGAGAGAGAGAGAGAGAGTGAGTGAGAGGGAAAGAGGGTGGGGGGAGGGGGGGGAGAGAGAGGGGGAGAGAGAGAGAGAGATCAATGACCTCCCAGCACCGTCGCCTAACTACGCTGGGCCCATCAAAAATGAACACTAAGCATGAGCTCATGTAAGATCACAGCCAGAACTCCTACCTCATCTTCAAACCTGATGTCCATGGCGGAGGCGGAGGGCGGCCGACTGCTGGTGAGGATCTCTCCACGGGTGGGGCTTCCCATCGGGGTCATAGGTCGCAGCAGAGACAGGGAGCCGGAGCCCAGGGGCAGCACAGGGATGTGCACCTGACTCACCTAAACCCCGAGGGTGACATTAGAGAAAAGGACTAACTGTAACATAAGCATGGGTTGCCGGCACACTTTTTAACTTAATATAAACATATCTAAAACAGGGATGCCCAGTGAAAATACCTGACAATTTATAATGCATTTGCGAACAGAAAAACATTCAAAAAGTTACAACTAATAAGGGGAATAAGCAGAAAAAACTTAGAAGACTAACTGGTCTTTTTGCGAAAGTAACGGCAATAACAGGAAAAAATGGAAAAACATCATCCCTGTTGAATGTTCCTATAGAGGGTGTGATACCCCAACAATCTCATGTCTTCAGGTCTCAGCACCCAATTCTCCACCTCTCATTTGACCTCTTATATCCTATTTTATAACATCTGTAATTTACCTGTTTATTACACTCTCATTGACTTATCAGATACCATTTGTTTGTTTTTCAGTCTATATAAAGGTCACACAAAAAGTTCCTCATTTCACCTGCAACATGTTTTATTTAAGTACGAGTTATACAGCACTTGCAACACAATAAGGTCATATAAGTGTCGAAGATTAAAAGTGTTACAAGAGAGTAACAAACACAAAAAAGGAGGGAAGATAAGGATGATAGATATTTGACAGGAAAGAAAGAGCAAACCATACCAAAGCATTCGCCAGCCACCCGTCAATGGTATTTAGCTTCTTAAAGGTGACAAGAGGGAGAGCTGGCCATAAACAGGTTAACAAGCACTGATCTACAAACTACCCACTCAGAAAAGGCAACAACTACAAAAGGAAAAGAAAAAAAAAATCACCTAGACAAGAGCTTCATCAACTAAAAGTAAAAGAGTACAACTCACGCGGGTGGTGCCCGTGTACAAGATGAGAGCTCCAGATGTCTCCAGCACAAGCAGCAGATTCTGACTCTGAAGAAAATATCAAGTGAGGAAACAAATCAACAAAATTCAAATCTGGTTGGCATTGAGGGTTAAATTCAAAGAAAAAATTGGGTAGAAGGGCCAACTTATCACAAAATAACTAACTTCTATACACCTTTTTGTTTTTGTGAGAGTTCTGACATTCTTATACACTGAACACAAGTATAATCCTTTTAAGGAAAACATTATTAGAAAAACAACAAGTCAAATTCAGATTTGTTTAAAAACAAACACGCATGTGTAAAATATTCCATACATCTGACATTTCAGAAATATGCAATTAAAACTCAAAAGCTATATAACACACAAGCACGCAAAACAGCTATATAACCACAGGGACACAAGAACGCACACGCGAGCGCACACACACACACATACACACACACAAACTGACCTCAATGGGAGTGGCATCTTTAGCAGGCAGCAGTGAGAGTGAGCCAAAGATGAGCTGGCTTCCGTCATTGCTCTCCTCAAATTTCAGGCACCTGATAATAGAGATGTTAATACTAAAATGTAAAATGATTCTAACATGAACTATGTGGATGCAGTTACATTAATTGGTCCTTTCATTTCATACCTTTAGCACAACCTTCCCCCTCTACTTCTTTTTTTTTTAATCATTCCAAACAATATGTTTCCTAACTCTGTTCATTCATTGACCTCCAAAACTGCTCCACATTCCTGTCAAAAGTTGAAAAGTAGATCCAAACAAGATACCAATAGACTCACCTGAGATGCTGCTTGTAGGGTACCAAGTAACACAGATAGCGCTGACCACACAAGTCCTCTGTCAAGAAAGCTTTGGACGCCTTGCCCAGTTGGCCATCTCTGATATAAAAAAAACACAAAAATGTTCAGTGTATCTTTTTACCCCCCACCCATTCCAAATTCATCCCAAACTTTCAAAATAGCACTTCTAAGATAGACTCAGAATTGCTAACTGGCGACAAAAAATCATCCTAAACATTTCAGACCCCCTGGAAACAAGTGCACGGGGAATTAATATATGGATCATATTGTCTAACGCATCTTATATCTAGACAGTTTCTATACAAAGTGCAATATGACAAGCAAAAAGTTAGGCAAAGTCCGGATAATATCAGAAATACAGACCGCCGGATTTATCCCAAAAAATCGACACCTCTGAAGACTCACCTGATTTGCTGTATCCCCTCGGTCCACAACAACTCCAGGCACACACAGGGCTGTATGGCTGGCGCCGCCATCCCGTAGAAACTTTCGTTCCCTCCGTGAGACGTGTTGAGCAGCGAGCTCGGAGACCGGAGCAGCGAGTTGGGAGAGCGCTGGGGCGGGGTCTGGAAGCGATACAGGGCCGAAGTGTTGGCCGTCGACATGCCCGGCGAATGAGGTCTGCGGATGCCCGAGGAAAAGAAAAGTCTAAAAGGTTAGGGGTGTAGACCTCTGTCGCTTTATTCCAGAACATTTTACGTCTCCATATGACTGTGCCAGGTTTTCTTTTGTTGTTTTTTTTTCTTTTCTTTTGCTGAAGACTTTTTTTGCGAGCTCAACGTCAGTGATGAAAAATCGATGTTCCCAAGCTTTTTTCGTTCTTTCATACAGACCTGTTTTACCACATGTAAAATGAGACACAAACCTTCCATTCCTCTTCCTGTTTGTTTTCCTTATAAGTCTTTTCTTGTCCTTACTCCCAAAAATTCCCCCCCACCTCCCCACACACAAAAACACACACAAACCTCTTACTATCTACAACCCTTCATCCCAGTTCTCCACTAGACTATTCCTGAAGAAATAGGGGCAAGAATATGTTATGGTCTCCGAGTGTTTTTTCCTACCCCAATTAGTGCTTGAAAGGGGGTATAAAACAAGTGGGAATCTAACTCTGGATCTATTCCTTTTTATAAAAGACAAACTAAGTTTCAGTAAAATGTACTACATATTACTTCCTCAGACAGACCCAACTAGAATGAACATGAACACAATCTGAAAACCCACTCACTCAGGCATCTATTTTCGCATACAATGAACAATGTCATAGACTTTATGCTTTCTTCAAACACAGCTAAGCCACCAAAAACCAGACACAATCTTATGGAGTCTTAGATAAGAACATATGGTAAGAAGGAATTTGCTATGATAGCTAATAAGAAATATGGGCCTGAGCTGACAAAAGAATTATTAAATTTTTTTTTTAAGGGGGGGGGGAATACAGGAAACAACACACATACACAAGCACATAATTGAGAGAGAGAGAGAGAGAGAGAGAGAGAGAGTGAGA